TGATCATGAGCTGCGAGGTAGAGAGCCGTAGGACGACCAAAAGGCCGTTCCAAAGTTGCCGGTAAACTTTACGAGCGAATTTCCAGCTCCTGCTTGCCGCAATCAACCAGCCGATTGGCACATTATATTCTAGAGATTAATTATGTGATTGTCAGACTGACGGGACGTCAAAAAGTCTTGTGACGTTTCACATTTAGGCACTGATGCATCAAGTAGCGTTTTGCCCAACCGGACAACAGTTGAGCCGTCACTGTGCATCTTTCGCACCTGACGAGGTTCGATTCCCTGCTTTTGCTCTTTTTGCCTTTTTTTTTTTTTTGACAATGGAAAAAGCAATGCGCTCAAACAAAAAAAAAGAAAAGAAAAAAAAGAAAAAAAAAAGAAAAAGAAAAAAACCAATGTCACTCCAATGGTTTTATTTTTTTTATTTTTATTTATTTTATTTTATTTTATTTTCTGCACCACAGTCTTTGTATTTTTTTTATTTACTTTTATTTTATTATTTCATTGCAAAAAGCATTGTATTTTTTCTTTCTTTTGATTTGCAAATGTCGAATCAGCACCAACAGATTTCGAGCGAATCGTATCTCTTCGCATTGCGGGAACGTAAGTAATGACCAATTACAATCGTTCTCCTCCTGAGAGAGCAATTCTTTCAACACACATCAGAAAGAACAAAGAACATGGTGAAAAAAAAAAAAGAAAAAGAAGAAAAGCAAAAAGCGCGCGAAAACGAACTTTCAGTTTGCTCTCGGTCCTGCAGATCAGCAGCCGTTCGCCGGAGCGCGCTGCCGCCAAGCATATTGTAATTGTCATGGCTTCCTTGACGGAATTGCGTCGCGATTGGCGTGAATTCGGGGAACGCGGACGCTGGGGAGGGTGAAAAGGGATTTTGAGCTTCAATTTCAATCCAGTTTTTGAGAGCACGGTGTTGAAACTGATAGTAAAAGCGCGGGAAACACACTGTTCTTGAGATGGTGAATTTTCAGCAAACGAAAATTCAACTTGGTTAATTTTTTGATTGGGTTGTTCGTTTGGATGTGTGGATCAGATCACCAAGCCAACTTTGTTTTTATGTCAAAACTGATGTCGGAGAACAGTGCACTGAAGTGTGAGATCGATACACTCAAGAAAGATAACACTCAACTGACTGCTCGTATTGGAGGTCTGGAAGCCCTGTGCCGCGAGAAGGATGCAG